AAGAACAAGGGCAATAACTCATAGTAAATATTTTTCGATTCGTCTGATTTTCAATAGGGTTCATCCTTGGGTGATTACAAACAACCATACCAAGTTTCATCGAAATCAGTCAAGAATTGTGTCTTGTAGAGTGTTTACGAGCAATTGTAGACGGACGGACCGACGGAATGAGGTGACGGCAATATACGCCCCCCATTTCATGTGGGCGTATAAAAAGCAAATGTTGGTGTCAAGTTTTTGCCTTATTAATAGCAAAAACTTGTGGCAGTGCTTGGGCTAAATAAGCGAATGGAATTATCTTACTATCCACTGCAACATTCCATGGCAACTCAAAATAGCTGAATATAAAGATTTTGTGTGTCTTGTATCTAGGGTAGCTTTCACAAATTTGTTAGATTCTGAAAATAAATACTTATATCATAGGATCAGAATTCAGACGGAATTAAATCCTTCAAAATTTAGTTAGTAAAGTCAAGTTTTGTGGATATAAATTATTATTGTGAATGATCTTTAATAAATAATTAACAGTAAATGGGGAAAATAAATGAAAAGCAAACAAATATATAATTGCACATTATTTTACAATAATTTAACTATATGAGTAGACAGCTTGTATACCTACAGGCAATATAATATATATTCAACTTGTTTTAGCCTAGGTAACATATACACAATGACACAGACAAACATTCCATTTGTGGAGGAGGGGGAACTCAACTGGACATTTTTTATACCTAGAAATGCTTTGGAATACACACTAGAAATGGAGTAGAAATTTTCTGTGAATAATTTTTCCTTTATAAATTTTTCTTATTGTAATGATAAAGTTAACATTTTGTTTATTATTACAATAAAGTGACAAAGAGGATGTTTCCATATCGTAACTGAAATATTTATGTTTGGCCTCGAAATGGACACACAAATTTTGTAGTATCATAGTCCTATTGGTGCACAACAAAAGATAATGTATTTTTCCCCTGCCAAGATTTTCTGTGTTTTATCAAGGGATTATCACTCTTTTAAACATCTAAATATTTGTAATACAAGCTTTAAGAGATCATTCCATATATTTTCTCAGGTGCATGATATATCAAATCCTTAAATAGTAGGAATGACTTTTTTTACAGTTATAACTGTACCAGTTTCTTCAGGTATAATGATTTTGTTTAACAGTATAACTAAATGATATATTCACTATTCCCAGTAGACATTCAGCACTTTACATTTGTCTTTAAAAAAAGAAGATATATTCTTCTAAGCTTTTAGCCAGTACTTTTCATCTCTATTTTCATATATTTTAATGCTATTTCTAACAAGACACTTAGCAGTTTATATATTGTTATCTGAGCAGTTAATCATACTTTAAAATTTTAGTGAACAAGTTATTAATAAGTTGAAAATAAACATTTAATTTGTTATGAAGTATTTCCTGCATTTTTTTTTCTTTTTTCCTAAATGCCTCTACAATAAAAATACACCAGCACATTTTGCGTTCTCCACCAGAACATGAAAATTTTAAATATTCCGACTGGCAAGGTTTTATACATCAGTTATTCATGAAATCAAAGCTTCTTAAAATGAAATGAAACAAAATATCTCAGTTAAGTTAATGAGAACACGAGAATCATCAACAATTTGTGTTAATTATTGATATTGGTACCTTAAAGATGGTTTCCCTTATTTTCATTCATATATATATATATAAAAACAAGTACTTGCTTTACTCACGGGTATATATATATATTCGATTATTGGACGGCCGATACTTATATCAATCGAAAGTAGAGGTATTCTAATGAATGGGAAAAATACCAGTTTGTCTCAAAAGCCCCTGATTAGCCCGTAATTAGCTAATTACGACATGGATTTCCATAGCATGACCGTGATAAAAAAATTGTCCAGTCTTTTTTCGAATAACCAGTGTATAGTCAGGGACATCGGTGAATGGTTAAAAATCGTTTAAATATGCGCACATGTGCACTCCCCGCATTCCTTTTCCCCGCACAGTTTACAATTTAAAAAGGCTTCAGATTCAGAAAATAAATCAACTCTACTTCATATTTTTCATTAATTCATTTAAAGAACTTTTTATGCAGGATAAATGAGCTGATACAAGCTTAACTGATCATTTTCCTCCTAATAAAGTTATATAACTGAACTCTATAGTTTATTGATGCTAAATCAGCCTTCTTAGTTGTAATTTGCATTATTCCCATGAAGAAAGAAAAGTAAAACCTTTAACCATATACAGTTTAGTCATATAAATAATTCCCACTAAAATTCTAACCAACTGCAGGGGGCCATATGGTCTATTTATTCTTGACCACAAGCATCTTGAAGTAATTATGTGAATAAATTGATTGAACTTTCCCCTTTCTACATGGCTGGCTCAAGTTAATATCTCTTGAAAGTAAGTGATATGTCTACTGAGTTGGGCTTATAATCTTCTGATGGTCAATGAGTTCTATTCAATTTAACATTCCTAAACACTATTTTATAATAGGCCTACTGAAACTAGCATACTGGACTTCTCCTACTATCGAATTTAAATATTCAAAAACCAATCCATTGTTTATCAATTAACAAATTGTTTCTTCGTTTCAGGTTTTATTAAGAAAAGGTTCTCAACATCTGAACCTTAATAAAAATAATTAGTGAAAATTGTTTTTATAGAGAGAATTTAATCCTAACAAGTTTGTCTCCCCTTAGACTAGGATTTCAAATGAACCAAAGATATTTGTGATATACATATACCTTATAACCTTTCAGTGTACCCAAATAGCGTTGTTGGGCGTTATAGAAGACGCTCCTGTAATAGCTTTCTGAGTTTTATCTTGTTTTATGACGTAAATCAGCTCAAAAAATACAGTAAAGTGAACACAGGGCTGGGTAAAATGATCAAAATAATCAATTATTGTCAATAGGAATTTATAACTTTCATTAAGCTTATATGTCAAAGTAACATTTTCTGCGCTATACCCGTTAACAAGTAGTAATCTCTTCCGCATAGGTTCCCTTCAGTACATAACTTACCCACAATAAGCTATAATAACCGAGCAAAGCAAGAAGATACTTCTATGACACGAAATAACCCCTATGAAATTGAGAATTTTGGTATGTCTTTAATTTAGTATTTACAGGGTTTTTGTAATTATTGTCTGAGTACCTAGCAAAAACTGTAAGAGTCAGAACACTTGTTAGACTTTTGTGTAAGTTCTAATCAACTAAGCGGATATATTCGAACAGGATTAAAATGTGCAAATTCACAGCTTTAAAACAATATATAAATCAATATTCAAAACATACATAAAATTTATCAAAATTTTTATAATAAAATCATAGAGTTAAGAAGAAGTCAAGTGTTAATTTCAAACCGTTTTAGGTCGATAGCTCAAACCTCACTGTTTGAAATGGTCTATTAAAGATATTTTCCCAGTCAAGAACATTTCCAAACATTGGCAGTCTATTTCAATTCATATTTTACGAAATATAATTGAAGAAGTGTAAACCAGCTAGGAAGCTGACAGGTCTAGTTTTCAATTGGTTCTGTATGCTAGTCGTTACTCTGATGAGTAGAAGAGAATTTGAAAGTATAAGCTTCTTGTCGTCGGTTCAATAACAAGCAAATAGCTCAAAATTCCATTTTTCTTGTGACAAAAGAATTTAATCAAGCTCTCTGCCGATATGTTTTTTTTGTGTCATATCCTTGCACAACATAACAGTTTAGGCAGCTTTTCAAATTAGTCTTTTAGTCTTTCTGGTTTCATTGTTTTGTTAATTAACAAATGATTTCTTCACAGAATCTTGACCTCAATTTGATTTTTTTTTATTTCTATCCCTCATCCCTTATTAAGAAGCTGTTGATCTTAGATGAATTATGATATGTGTGATGTTTTCATTGGACTGAATAAACAAATCAGTCTATATCTTTCATAATTGTTAATCATAAAGTAACATTTGTTATCATCACATATCATATTAACAAATACAATACATAAATGGTCAGTATTGTGAATGTAAACCGTGTGCCTTTCATCTGTCATAGTACTCTGTCTTGATATCATATGTTATAGGAATATGTGGAAGATACTACAATCTATAAATAATCTTTTTAAAGCAGAACCCAATATTAAGATCTGGTATCAGGCATTACTGAACAATAAATCTGGGCCAAGTGCTTTAAGTAAAAGTAAAGTAGTCATACCGGTAATAATAATGATATAGGAATATGCCCAAGATAGAATACAAGGACAACTTTTAATGAGTTATTAAATTTCCTATAAAATAGAACAGAAAAATGACAGCAAACATCAGGATACACTGGTACAGCGTGAGTCATGACAGGGCAGCATGTAGATAATGTATGTAAAAGGTAAACAAAACAATGAATTAAAAAGTTGGATTTAGTCTGTGATAAGTCAAAAATTACACAAAATTATCTCACCTTTTCGATTTCTGTTTTATCCCTCGTTACTTAAAAGAATGGCTTCCAATTCATCATGTAAAATGTCTTCGAATTAAAAGAAAGAGTATGAAAAAACTAAAATATAATCGAAAACAAGTGTCTGTTGTCCGCCATTTGCGTCAAATGCCTAACTTCCTGTGATCTACGCATGCACATTTAATACGTAACCATTCACTTGTCAAAATTGTATCCAATAATTAACTTCGGTATAATATCACATCATTCTCAAATTCTATGTCAGTTTAAAAAAGTTATTGACTTCATATGGATAACATTGTCAATCTAAAAAAGGATAATGTGAAAAATGAAAATATATTACATATTATATAAATATTAGTTAATGGTAGACAACTCCAGTTAATCTTAGGTTTTAGAGTTGTCTCCCTCTAATTCTACTTCCGGTAAAATGAAAATAAACATCACTTTTCATCTGTCGAAATTGTGAACTAAATATATGTGGAAGATGGGTGATTGATGACTATGATTAACAGAGTTATTGTTATCTGATTTCTAATATGCAAATGTCCATGACAAGATGGGACAAGCAAGTTCTTTGGCTCAAAAATTATCCCGACCCGTATCTTGGTTGACTGGTGCTGGAGCCAGTTCTAAAAATAGTGGTTGTGAACAAAACTCTAGTCCTCTCAATGGCAATGAAATGTCAATGTATCAGAGTGTCACCCCATTTGTATTTAAAAGATCTAGGTAAGAGCATGTGGGCTGTTAGTAGTTGGATCACCATAGTTCATGAATCAGATTTGCCTATTTTCTTTATTTTTTTTAAGACCTGTCAAGTAACCTTATTTATTATGGTAAAAATATGTTTATTATTCTGTGGTTCTTCATAATGTTGGAATCAGACCCCCCTTTTTTATGATTAGTCTACATTAATCCGCAGATTGTTTACGTTGAGTGTTCGATTCATATATTTTTTTTATTTTAGTTCAATGTTTTTTGATGAAGATGGTGATATAGCTCATGAATTCTATGAAGAAGTTACTAAAGGTCGAAGATCTAAAATGAAAAGAATCCACAAACACTTAATACCTGTTGTAAGTGAATCTTTTTGCATTTCCATGTGAACCCAATAATTGATACGGTACTGCTTTTACCACATTTACCTTCACAATGGAACTTCTACTTTCAATTTGTTCTGCCTTTGGAGGATGTTTATTCAGGATACTTGACCTTGCAATACTTGGCAAGTTATATTGCAATGTATCGATTCACCTATAGGATATATCAAATTTATGAGTTACTCAATGATACTTATAGATATAAGTTCTGCACTTTATTTCAGGGTGAGATAAAACTGAGACATCCTAGACTGAATAATCAACTACCAATTATTATGTGTGAAACACCGGACAATTCATAGTACAATATTATGATCATTTATTTAAATTGTGGCTGTGTCAAAAGATCAGACAAAAGTGATACCATTGATAATCAATAGTTCAACTTATCCACATCCATCAGATAAACTTTAAGGAAACAGTTACAATTAAAACATGAGGAAGTGTGTACAAATAAAAACAGTGTGCTGAGAATTCTTTATTATGAAGATAAATTATTCTACAGATGTATTTATTGTTTAATATAATTTCAACATAAGTATGTTATTTAGTTGTATAAAAGGTCATTATCTTCATGGACAATAATCGTGCCCTCATGATAATTGATATGCAGGATGATATGGTTGCAAGGAATTATTTACTAATCAAAGTGATATTAAAATGCACTAAATGTGTGATCTCATGAAAATGAGTTGTAACCTATGCATAAATGTCATAGGCTGTCTATTTCAATATTTTTGTTTGAATTTGATAACCTATAGATAACATATTCTGATGTTGTTGTCTTCTGTCATCTGTAAAATGATTATAAATAAGAAACAACCAATTATGACAAGGATAACAACTTTGGCTCGCAAAGATATTGTGTAACAGCTGGTCTTTGGTTGAAAGGTTTTATGCATTGTTGTTGTATATTTCATACCCTGTTATAAAATTTTCTTTTCAAAACTTTTGGTGCAATAGTCAACTCATTCAATTCTTACCCTTTATACATACATGTACATGAATTATTTCCCAGAAAAGATTTTTTATGCTCTGATGCTCTCAGTTTTGAAATTTATAACAAAAAATATAATCCATTCTTAAAAAGCAGCTTAGTAATTCAGGTTTTAAAATTTCTTGAGTGTATGTAAGGCTATAGATTAAGAAGGCATTTAAATTCAACATATGAAATTTTCTAGAAACTCCCCTATCTGAATTCGTTACATTGTGTGGCTAATTTTAAAAAACAGCGTTGATGTACATCTTTAAAGGGGTTGTAAAGAGGTTTTCTAAATATTTTATGTGAGTCGGGGACACTGATAGCATCAATTTGCACATTCCGATTTTCAGTCAGTTGTGTGTGGTTCAATGCCGAAAGTGTTTGATTACGTCACTAATATGACTAACTAAATATGCTCTTTTTCACTTTTTTTGCAATTAGTGACTTAGTTTTAGTGGCATTGCAAGAACCACATGCGTCTGATTGAAACTTGTAATAGTGCCAATTGATTCTATCTGTGGCCCCCAATACACATGAAAAATTTAGAAAACTTCTTTACAATCCCATTTAAGTTGCAATTTGCCCTTGAAAAAAAGAAAATTAACTTTAGAATCAAAGCCTTTTTCTCAAATAGTGACAAATGACACTTGGACACCTTCTTAATCTCAGACCTTCTTTCTTTTTTAAGGACATCAATTGTCATAGTGTTACCGGTATATTTTGTTTATTTGTTGTAAAATCATCATTTCATTGTTCAACAGATATGAATGGTTGGTAAAGAAACTTATTAAGTATTTGTACAATATCTACAAGTGTAATTGAATCATATCTAGTCTTGTTGTAACAGGAAAAGATATAGATCAATGAAGCATTAATTGCTAACAGATAGTGTTTATTAAAATTATAATGAATTCATAGACAACCTGGTGACTATAGTAAACAGCCAGTTAGTAGATCTTATATTTGGCTATTATATATGTTATATATCATATATTTCAGATCCGACAAAAGAAGTTTATGATAACATAAACCACTTCACATAGATCAACAAATCTCAAATCAAAATATCCTTTCCAGGTAGATCTAATAATAGTGATAAAAAGTTCATTAATTCATTCATTAAAAATGAAAAACAAGATGCTCAGATTCTGAAAAATTCTGCATTTAACAGAGAAACAAAAATTTTGTAATCTTTAGCTAACCAATTATTCTTAGTGCCAAAGCTCAAAAATGTCTTATTCCACTCCTTGTACCCTTCACAGTAATAAAAATAATGCAGTGTAGTTTGTTTTTTTTAAAGATGGATGAAATTTGGCTTAACTCAAAATGACTTTATCTCAAATTTTCTGCCCAGTTTGAAGACATTTCTCTTGTGACACATAGTGACATATCCAGGTTTGGTTTTTAACCTATCATTGTTCATGAAATTGTTCATATTGAAAGTAACATTTATGTAATTTGTTCAATTTATTTAATTTCTGTTTTGTATTTTTTGTACATATTTCATAAATCTTAACTTAAAATTATTAAAAATTATTTAAAAATGTCTTTTACTTCTCAGATTGCAAATAATTTAAGAAATAGCATATAGTTCTTCATTTGCAATTAGGGAAATTATGATATGGCAGTAGCCTACTCTTTTTGTGTTTTCTAAATTTCCATGGACTCAAGTGGAATGGGGGTGAACTTAACCAATTTAACCAAACAACTTTTGACGGTTCATATTTACAAACCACTCTTTAAGATAGCTTGCCAGGCAAGGTAATATACGCCCACTAGCAGCTTTGATTTTGAATAAAAATATTTAGCAGTACAGTAACAATCACCAGTATGAAATATTCAACCTTCAGTCATACACTTCTTTAGAACTCTTTAAAGCGATACTGAATAATTTCCTGTGTTCTTGAAAACGTGTTCAATTTTTAGCTCGTGAAAACTCTAGAAGGCAAATATTCAATCTTCAGCGAATAATAGAACCAAGTTTTGTCAAAATCCAGCAAGAATCATGCCTTTTAGTGTTTAAGAGCTAAATTTGAAAGCGTTTTCAAGAACAAGAGCAATAACTCATACTAAATATTTTTCAATTCTTATGATTTTTAATAGGGTTCATCCTTGGGTGATTACGAACACTCACACCAAGTTTCATCAAAATCCCTCAATAATTGTGCCTTCTAGAATGATTACGAGCTAAAAATTGAACGTGTTTTCAAGAACAAGGGCAATAACTCATACTAAATATTTTTCGATTCTTCTTATTTTCAATAGGGTTTATCCTTGGGTGATTACGAACACTCACACCAAGTTTCGTTAAAATCCGTCAAGAATTGTGTCTTCGAGAGTGTTTATGTTCTAAAAATTGAACGCGTTTTCAAGAACAAGGACAATAACTCATACTAAATATTTTTCGATTTTTCTGATTTTCAATAGGGTTTATCCTTGGTTGATTACAAACACTAATGCCAAGTTTCGTCAAAATCCATCAGGATTGTGCCTTCTGGAGTGTTTACGAGCTAAAAATTGAATGCGTTTTCAAGAACAAGGGTAATAACTCATACTAAATATTTTTGATTCTTCTGATTTTCAATAGGGTTCATCCTTGGTTGATTACGAACACTCATGCCAAGTTTCGTTAAAATCTGTCAAGAATTGTCCCTTCTAGAGTGTTTACGAGCTAAAAATTGAACGCGTTTTCAAGAACAAGGGCAATAACTTATACTAAATATTTTTAGATTCTTTTGATTTTCAATAGGGTTCATCCTTGGGTGATTACAAATACTCACACCAAGTTTTGTCAAAATCCGTCAAGAATTGTGTCTTGTAGAGTGTTTACGAGCAATTGTGGGCGTATAAAAATGATTGTGTGGAATCTTGTTTACTGAAGTAGAAATCATTGACATAAATATTTGTTATCTCCGTCTTAAATAACCTTGGATGTTTACCCGTTAAAATGAAACAATATTGAAATATATGTTATAATTCGGAAGTATTGAATGGACAATCAGTTACTATCACGACTAATGTGAGATAGCACATCTAGTTTATTTGTCTAAGAGACGCAAATTTTATGTAGTTCTACATTTACAACAAGGCTTTTTGAGTACCGCTCCTGTCGATTTGGTATTGGTGCGTCAATATACAAACTATAGGCTTATCTTTTATCTAACTAACTTTTATCTATTAACCATCTGGTTTTGATACAAGAATTTAGTCGTAAATGTAGACGTTTTTGGTAAGTAATAGGTCTTTCTGATCGAAAGTATTATTTAGTCGATGGTGTCCCTCAAAAGTCTTTTAATTATGATATATCGTGTTCTATTAGAGCTGTGCTTGTGATAATGGTATCAACCACCACAACATTAGAGCTCATTACAGATTGTCACTTATATGAAGGTTTTGGAAAACTATTTAAGCACCGAATTGAATCTCTTTTGCAAACATTTTCTGTCACGTTTGTATTTCAGAACGGATTCCGGTAAAATGATGAAGGTTGTTGGTATTGTTATGATCTGTTGTATGTTTTTGGTTGCTACAAGTCAACCATTCAGTAAGTTAGCATCCTTGCTATAATTTCTAGGCTAATATAGTTTCAAATTAACCTGGAACATCAAGTCAGAATGCTTATTTTAATATAAAGTGTTGATAGAACATTAACTGTCGATATTTCCCGATAGAATTCGCATTATTTACAAAATTTTTGTTATTTTTCCAGTGTTAACGACAGATAAATGTAAAGAATTAAATGGTTACTGCGCCGATGGAAGATTGATAAGGTGCCCTCATATAACACACAAAGTTTGTGGAGATATTCCATTTGCTGTTTGTTGTTCTCCTGGATTAGTTGGAAAATAAACTATTTTATAAGACGTTTTTTTCTCCATATTCATATAATATAAACATATATAAAACAAAGATAGAAGAAAAGAAAATTAGAAGATCACTCGTAGGTAAAATTGACCCTTTCCAGTAACTCAATGCCTAATAACATCCATTCTTATTGAAATTAGTTTAATCTAACTAGATTTCTACCATAGGTTCGCCTCAATGATGCTAATTTTGACAAATCAAAGCGTGTCCCGTAAAACCGTCACCCTTGGTGGTAGAAAATTTGTTAGATTATCATTGAGACTAAAATAAAAGTAAACGAAAAGATATGAAATTATAATATTATTATAATTAAATTGAGTAAAATAACCCTAAATTGAACTCTTGTAGATTCAAACCTGACATATCAGCTTATTCATTGTGGTAATTTATACCAAATCACACTCACTACTAGACATGTTAACAGGACTGAATAAGCATTAGTTTTTCACCAAGGAAATCATATTGTCTTATTTTTGTGTGAACATGAACTAACAGCAAATTCTTAAGGGCAAAATATACACAACTATCTAGCTAGAAGCTACTTTGCTTTCAATTATCACACAACTGTATGTATATGTTATATAAATATGTTTATTTGTGATTTGTATATATTGCCATGTCCCTGTTCGCTATACATTTTGTACTTGTTAATGATCCCTCTACTGTAAGGAATTTGGAAAAAGAGCTAAGTGTTACTGTCTTGGTGGCCTGAACGATGCAGGTAACTTTCGCTTTTGAGATTTAATTGTCAAACGAATAGGGACCACAGAAGTATCTCAGGCTTCACATAAGACTTAAACAAATTGATAGTTGAAAACCCTGAAAGCGACTATGAAAATAATGAGTAGGTAAAAAAAACATTATAGAGGCAGAAGTGGCAACAAATGACGCGGCATGATTCCGGACGTACACATATTTGCAGAAAACAACCGCCGCGGTCTAGGGGCCCTGACCTTGTTGAGTTGTTGTACAGTAACTTGATTGTCCGCACACTTTAAGTGTTTTTATTTCGACATCTAAGTGATCTGAGTTATTATTTTTTGTCGATTCTATAGATTAAACATCTAGTTAATAAATACAATCGTAACTGGCCCAGGTTTTAAAAAAAATGTTTTTAAAGGGGACCTACTTATGTGAAGTCATTTAAGTAATCAAAATTTTTCAGGGGGATAGGCAAATAGGGTGAGTTAATTAATTCCATCACCCAAAATGTCATTACTGTACTAAGTTTTTTCACCTGACCATCAATTACATTCACACGTATGTGATCCCTACTTTACCAAAAGTAGCTTTCAGGTCACTACATTAATAAACAAACACACATCCATTGATAAATTCATATTCTTGTCACAACATCACGTCATCAACGATATACAATACAAATTTCTGTGTCGCTGGTGATTTTTACAGTGGATCGTTGATGATGTTTTGTTGTCATCACTGATGTATCAGTAAGTTAAAGCCCAAAACCAAATGGTCAATTATGTACACGTATCTGTTTGTTTAAAAACTAGTATTCTACGTTACTGCTTTGCTCTTTGTTATCAACGTCACTTCACAATATCATGGACTTCACGCAGCTTAGTCATCAACGACACAATAGTGGCATAGAAACTTCATAACTTCATGCGCCGAGACATTATAATGTTCATGTCTTTCTATTTCAAAACTTTGTATTCTCTTAATATCACCGTAATCATAGGGAAGATTGCAAGTTTTTTTTCCCCGACACCTGAAGGTCTGTCTGTAAATTCGATGTGTTATCGTATAAATGACATCTTTAGGAATGAAACGCTGGCTAAAGGACAAAGAACATTATTTTTTTGTAATATTGCATTTGTACTCTTAATTACATGCTCACAAACCATTTCTGTAACATCAAATCTTGTTAAGATGGCGAAGTCTCAAGAAAAGCGAGGGAATTGGTCTAACTGGTTGGAATTTTTGTTTTCGTGTGTTGGTTGTATGGTAGGAATCGGAAATATTTGGAGATTCCCTTTCATTTGCTATAGATCAGGCGGAGGTAAGCTCTATGCTATATTTGTCTGAGTCAATAAATCTCACAGCAAATGTTAATAATTTCAAAATGTATCTGATGCTGTATAATATAAATCAACCTTCTCTCTAGTATTCGGCGTTAATGTTGTAGCTCTTCCTAACCAGCATAACTACCAACATCGACAACAAAAACAACATCAAATGTTCGTTTGAAGTTTCAATTAATATTAACATTGTATTTCAGCTGCCTTTTTAATCCCTTATTTCCTGGCAATGTTTGTATGTGGATTACCATTAATATTTCTCGAAATGAGTTATTGCCAATACTCTAATCTTGGACCAGGCAGAGTATGGATTATATGCCCTCTTTTCAAAGGTAGCTTTATTTCTGAATTGATTCTCGTTATAAAAATCTCTTGCTGAAATAGAATTGTCTCTCAAGAGAGAGAATGGAGCATTATATGCGTAATTTAGACCAAGTTCAATTCTTACATATATGTACCAGAAAGCAGATATTTGCTTTTTTATGTGGTTTTAACCATTCTCTATTCGTAATTTTGTGATTGTCATTTGCACTTATGTTTAGGATAAGCCACATGCATACACAATTGTATTACTGTTATTTCAGGAATAGGATTTGGAATGATAATATTAACAGCTGTCATAAGTTGTTATTATAATGTGGTATTAGCTTGGACATTGTATTATTTGGGAAAGTCTTTTACCACCGTCTTACCGTGGAGTTCTTGTGGGAATTCTTGGAACTCTTTGAATTGTGTAGACGTGTATGGTACTGTCTTTAAAAACTCGACTGTAAACGAAACTTGGAACAGTGCAGTAAATATTTCCAATTCAACTGTTTCATCAACTGAAGAATATTGGATGTGAGTTAAAAACAATCCAGTTTATTGGGGAAAGAGAAACTAAATCAGTTATCGACAATTTCCAATATGAATACTCAGCGATATTGTGCTGCAGGAATTGTATTCCTATTGCCTATTTTTTTTTAAGAAAATTTTTTGTTTAATTTTTAATTTTACAGTACTGTTATTTCAGAAACCACGTGTTAGATGATAAGGGAGATTTTCATACTCTGGGTTCTGTAAGATGGCAGTTAATAATTTGTCTTACCGTTGCATGGATATGCGTATTTCTGTGTTTAATAAAGGGCATCAAATCGTCGGGGAAGGTCTGTTCTTGTTTTTATTACGAATACATCTCGCATTGATATGAAACAGAAAACGATTTAGAAAACTTTTCACCAGTTTTCACTTCTTCAATAATGACAGATTCCAGCGATGTGTGTATATATCTGTTTGAATTCATTGTATTTGTACCACTGCAGTGGTTATGGATTATGGCAGTCTAATTTCAGATTTATTGTTGTCCTACCAGACTCTAAGAACTTGTGTTATTGGCTGGAGTCGGTGATCAGACCACAAAGTAGTTGGCAGACAAGCATGTCGGTCTACAGTCGAGTCGAGTATTGAATTTTGATATAAAAGTCGTTGGCTTTTGTGATTTATGTGAGAGCTTGTTATCCTCGACCTTGATTTATACAATTACACCATACTACATTACTTATTTCCTATTTAGGTGGTGTATGTTGCAGCAACAGTTCCTTATCTCATCCTTCTAGCTTTATTAATACGAGGTTGTATGTTACCTGGATCATTACAGGGTATAAAATATTATGTAATTCCAAGATGGGAAAAATTGTTGGAATCTAAGGTAAATTTGTCCAAGCAACCGGAATACCAGAAACTATTTGTACCATTCAATAAGAAGTATTTAAAAAAAAAATAACATAACATAAAATATTGCTGTATTAGCAATATACAATTATGCTTGAAAAGTCACATTTTTTCATTACAACTATACATGTGACGTGCTCGTCATATTCTTTATCGATGAATTTATGTTTATTTTTTGTTGGGAGGAAAACGTTTAATCATGATTTAACTACAATAACTTATTTTAGGTATGGCAAGATGCAGCAGTACAGGTGTTTTACTCAGCAGGAATTGGCTGGGGTGGAATTTCAACTTTAGCAAGTTACAATAGATTTTCTAACAATTGTTACAGGTAATTCATTTATTTTAAATTCTTTATATATAAGTTATAACTTCTAAGAATATATTTTTTTCTAAAATATAAATTCATTACATTTAATCTAACATATGCATGGTAACTATCATTAACAGTATATTGATGATTCCTTTATTATTCTTAATTGGAACAGGATGATACATAACATACTAGTTCTAGCTAGTCTAATGATCATGAAATAAGCTTAACAATACATCAAACGACTGTTCAATTAACGCCACAGATGTAATACATAGCATACTTGATTTGATTCGTTTTGTATCATAGACATGTATGTCGGATATTGGCAGTTAACAGCCATACCCCAAATATCATTTTGGAATTTAGGAAATAATAGTAGCCTATAAGTATCTGTTTCTTTAATTGGAAGTGTATTTATATGTGTATGACCTTACAAATTCAATGTATAGACAGAGTTATTTGATATTAAACAGTCATAATATTCTTATAGAGACGCAATGGTGTTACCCGTACTCGACTGTTTAACTAGTTGGTTTGCAGGATTTGTTATATTTGTCTTCCTTGGGTATATGGCTCATATTGAAGGTAAAAATGTAGATGAAGTAGTGGCCAGTGGTAAGTTTATGAACACCACAAATTCGGGATGAAAGACTTCTTTGTCTCTTTGTCATTGTTATAAACATCATGTACATGTGCGCCCTTTCTCGATTTTTAAAAAGAAAGTCTTTGGAAAAAGGGATTTATCCCCCTTAACTAAAACCATATAACCTGCACTTGCTTGGAATCTTCCAGGTCCTGGATTGTCTTTTGTTACATATCCTCATGCTGTAGCCACCATGCCTGTTTCTCAACTTTGGTCGTTTTTATTTTTTGCCATGTTGTTTCTTGTTGGAATGGATAGCCAGGTAATATGCCATAAGAATCTATGCTTTTTACAAGTATTTCTGAATGCGATAATCGTACAACTAGAACAGTGTAAAAGACAATCAACATTTCTCGGTAATAGAGAAGCAAGAACAAGAATACCTTATACTGTATTATATGAGCACTTCGGCGCTTCCACCTTATAATGCAAAAATATGTCTTTATCTTTGTTTAAGTTTGTCCACATTCAAACGATAACAACTGGTTTAACTGACGCCGTTCCACAGATTGGTAAAACCAGCAGAAGGAAGACTGCATTGACAGCCACTGTTTGCTGTGTAGGATTTCTTTTTGGTATACCATTTACAACTCGTGTAAGCGATTACTATACAACATTGCTTCCCAGGAACATTATAGACAGAGACAGACAATGTGTCTGATACACTTCACGAACGTTTGAGGAGCTTGAATACTCTTTCTTTTATCTTTGATCAGTAGTTGTGTTTGCATATAAAGACTTTTAATATACTTGTTTTTATGACTAAAGGTGCCGGCACACGAGCGGTCTTGGTCGAAGATTTTGTCGCGGACTCGAATCTTTAGTAAAATCTCGCACATGCTTCCACGACAAGATTATCGTGTCGGCGACAGGATTTATAATATCAAACAAGTTTGATAATTGTCTCCCATAGTTTTATCATCTGCAAGACAGACCGCCATCATCCAATCAGATTCCTTTTCCTTTCAATTGCATGCACAGCACGTGATTATCGACAAGGTGGAAAACGACCGACTGGAGATTTTTTTCTCCTCGTGTACCCGTGCCGGTATGGAAACTCGAGACTCCAATCTGCGACAAAAGTCTCCGACCGAGACAGCTCGTGTGTCCGATAGAATGCAGTGACTTTAGTAGAGTGTTCTCGATACTGATAAAAATGTTCCTTATTTCAGGGTGGAATTCATCTACTGAATCATATAGATGGGTATATTTCCACTATATCGGTAATGTTACTTGCATGTATTGAAACGTTAGTTTTAAGCTGGTTATATGGTAAGATAAGTAATATGTTAAAATTGGCCAAATCTGGCTTCTCCTTCTGAAACACTGTCACCATACAATATTGTTGACAAGACCTATATTCTGAGAGCAAATGTGGTTATGACTTACTCAAAATTTCATAAAATTAAACATATAACAGAAAAATGTTCAGAAATTTTATTTTTTAGGTGTAAATAGATTATATGAAGATATAACATCTATGATCGGATATAGACCAAATTTTATATGGAGACCTTTATGGATGGTCATATCACCAGTATTCATTTTGGTAAGAAGTCTTACTCTAGCTCCCTGGACAGTATATATTACCTTTCATGAAAAGTATCAGTTGATTGCTAAAAACTTCTTGTTCACTCAAGTTGGCCAGTATAAAGACTTGATTGTTTGGAGGGCCAAGTAATATATGCGGAGGAGCATTAATGGATTTGGTTTATCTTTTCCTGTGCCTACGGGCCTGTGACTGATAGAAAAATATATCATCTTGTTCATTCAGTACCATCTGCACAATATCTTCCAATAGCATTTCTGTTTGGTCTGCTTTCTTGTGTCAAGGAAGTTTGGTTATGCAGAAATTTTATTAGCGAATACAGCCCCCGACATAAAGTCTGTAATAAATAATTGCGCATAAAATCGAGGGCTCTGATTTGCTGTCAAAATGTATTTTTCAAGTTTAGTGGTGAATATAATGATTTCAGGTACTATGGTGTTTTGGGTTATATGATATCTATATTAAAGCTATTATAAATAAGACGAGTTATAGTATAGTGGTTAGTGGTGTTTTGATTGGAATGGTTCCGTTACTACCATTACCTATAATGGCTTTAAAACAGTTGGCTTCTAAACCGGGATCCTTAATAAAAGTTGGTATACTTTATGGTATTGCTCTCAAGAGTAACCTTATAATTATGAATATTATATCTTTCAGTATAGGCAGCTTGACATGCTTTTAAGGCCGCTGACAATCAAATATATTTGCCATGTGTGTTTATGGGTTTTGATATATATTGATATTTTGTACAAGTCTTCTTGAACATGAATTCATGAGGTCGAATATAATTAATTATTTCTAAAGATAGAAATGTAACCTCATGATAAATCTGATCATTTTCAGAAAATAAAATCATCAATTCAACCTTCCAAGAAATGGAAATCGGTGCTGCAGAAAGAATCTGAAGATGGCAATTTATTACATGATGTTCCACTACTGATCAGAAACAATAAATAATTTTATTTCATTCTTCTCATTGTTTAGTTGCAACCAAACCATCCATTTGAGTAACTCTTCAACAGGGTTCAATTTAGATTGAAACACCAAATTTCAATTTTGATTTGAATTTCATAAAAGTTCGATAGCAATTAAAAATGCTTCAGTAGTAGACCTTCAAAAGATCTTGCCAATGACATCAGTTCCTTAAGTATTTCTAGATTTTTCTAAAAATGCCCACGAAAATTCTTGTCAGAACTGAAGGTTTGTCTGGACTTTGTCTCTGATTGCAGGGAATCTGTCCTTGTTCAATGCTGACTTTCTATCAATAATACATGTATTTTATAAATATTCTTGTTCATACAACAGAAAAGCTCGTCATTATCCCTCGTGGAAAATTAACAAAATAATAATCTAAAGCATAACAATATTTATTACCAATCTAGAAATGATGATATAAATATGGATAGAAAATTAGAAATATTAACAAAACTAACAATAACCAATAATAATCTTAAAAAAAACCAGGTCAAAATCACCGCTTCCACAAGTTAAGAAAGAATTGATCTACTGCTTATTTATGCTGGAACTGAATATCACAGAATCCTATATGCCGTTATGACAACACTTTGGCTTTTACTCTTAACTCTTAATATCAAATAAATTATGTATTTTGATGTCTTGGTTACTCATTGTAAAAATAACCCTGCCCTGTGTTTATTAGTCAGCTGTATTTTCATATAAACAGTTACTGAAAGGAAGACAGAATGTTTTAATCCAAATCGTTCAATCAATGCAGAAATTAGGTCAGGGTAATTTTCCAAAAATTAAAAGTCCATCAACCGTAAATAATATAAATATTTTTCACATATTACAGTGACAATCACTTTTGTTCAGAATAGTGATATAATTATAATATTTCAATATAATCAATAGAAGAAAAAAATAGAATATGTAAGCATGTTGATAGCTGAAATTCATATTACTGTCCAGTAATATAATCTGATGGTTCTCCTACAATTAGACCCTTGACCCTGGCTAGCAGCTGAAACCAATTTGCTAACCAGAATTATTTGAGCTAGCCAGTTTTTTACTTCATAAAATTGCCAGCAAAAAACATTCATAGATTTCCTTATTAAATGTATCTAATTATTAAGTTTAATAAATTTATCCCCAAATAATCAATTCACAATTTAAATTTAATTAATTAGTTCAATTACTAATGTATAAAAGACCTATTAATTCTTTCTCTTCAGACTAATAGTGGGTTAATTAAACTGGGGTTTGTGATTATTATAAAGTGGAGATTATTCCCCTGACTAAAACTGGCAGTGCTTTCCATGCACAACTGTTTCTGGCTGAAAAGAAATCAGCAGAAGCATCGGCTATTGGTGGTGACTCAAAGGTTTACCTACAATTCAATAATTATTTGATTGTTTTTGGTACGACATAGCTACCGACCATAATGTAAATAAAAATCGTAGAAATGAGGACAGTCTTAACTTCCAAAAAATGTACAAAATTGTTGAACATCTTGACAGGTATTGTTTTTTATCAAGATTATGAGAATCAAGGGATATAGGCCAGTTTTCATGGAATATAACAGATTACCGATTTTCAGCATAAATATGTTGACTGTTGATATTTGCCTTTGATCATGGCATGGCTTTAAATATAGATGCATTCACTGCTCTCAAAATTTGTTCAAAATGATAAATTATCAAATAAACAGTACTTCTTAGTGGATGACCATTCACAGAATATATTCAAGTCTTCAAGGGTGGTTATGCCCTGAAACATGTCTTGAAAGGGAACTAGATCAATAACTATCAATAAAAAATCTACAAGGTTAAAGATGAGGTTGTGGTTTTACCCATTTATATGTTCCTGTATATATAAAATTAAATTCTGTACATAACTTGTCATTTTCTTTTGGTCCACGACTGAAACAAAGATATGAAAGAACCTTAAAGTAATGTATGGCAAGAAAAATTTACATGCAAAATCAGATCATATTACATGCATGCTATTTAAGCATTAGATACACATGCCAACTGATTATTAGTAAATTATTATTTCTAATGATCCTACATACTTGCTCTTTAATCAGTGTTTTGGACAAAAACATAAATAAGCTATTATTTAGTAGATACATATCTTAGAGACATGGACATCATATCAATGCTATATAGGCCTTAGATGAATTCTATTACTGTACCATGAATATGCAAAATAATGTCTGTCACACAAAAATGTCACAAATACAATACAAACAATATTCATATTTGGTTAGTATAGAATTAAAACAGACAAGCAAATAAATGCACGTTACAGAAACAGATGCTTTAACCAGTGTGTATATTATATAAATCTGAAGCTTGAGAAGGGAGAGGGTTAGTACATCTAATCATTTCTATAAAAAAAGACTTTCAATAGTTTGATCTGCTTTTACTTTTTGCCATTTTGTTTCCATCTATAGGTACCAGTGTACTGGAAATCATGTTTTGCAAATAATGTATCTGATTGTTCTGGTCCACGACTGAAATTATAACACATAACACAACAACATTATAAACAAAAACATTATGAATTAACACAAACTATGAATCATTAAAGGCAATGCAATATCTTATTTTTCTACATATTTAATCAAATTATATTTTTCTATAAAATTCACGGCATGAATCTCAAGGAAATCACAATTCAGAATCAGTAAAATACATAATTAGCATTCCTTTAATGAAGAAGCAAATGAAAATTAAGAAGCATTAACGTGAATACATTCCAATACCAAAAAGCCTACACATGCACTCTAACAATACTTTCTAGGCAAGACATATACATTTTTTAAATTTGTAAATTGTATTTTTAAACTTGTTATGTTTTTGTCCAAAATATGCTATTTATAAATGAATAATAAAATGTATATTATAAGTTTCACACAGGAATTATACAATGTTTAATATTTTTCTGATGAAATGACCAATTAATGTGCTATATGTGTTTCTTATTTAAATGACAAAATATGCCACATGAGGTTACCAAATGATTGATAAAATGTCCCCTCATACAAAGTACAAGAATCAAAAGCATGAACAAATCTTATGAAGTTAAGTAATGAAGCGACTTTAAAAGCTCTTAAATGTTAAAGCATTTAAAGCATAATTTCCCATGTTCTTAATGATACATACAAATTTGAAGAGTAAAAGACTTGTCTTAGAATTACAGGATACTCTCTAATAAGTTTTGATTTTTCAATAAGGTGTCCTTCTCCTTCAGTGATGCAGATATAACATTGTACAATACAGATGTTTTAGATATAAAGAGACTTTTCTCAAACAAAAGAAACTCTCCAAAAGTTTCTAGGAGAGAGGGAGCCCATATTTCTAAAATAATAGAATAAATTTCTATAAAAAAATAAAACATGATGTAACAGAAAAAAAATACTCAACTCACCTCCCATAAACATATTCGATAGGTTTGGGCTTCTCTTTATCAATTTGTTTTAATAATGGAGTAAATATTCTCCAGGCTTCATGTAGTTCATCAGATCTTACAAAATGGATTTGAGAACCCATAAAAACATCTAATATCAATCTCTCATAAGCATCAGGCATCTTAACTCCCTACAACAAAATATACAGAAATATTTAACAAACGTTAGAAATAATATATATCTCGTGCTTCTTTACTAATGCCTATTTCTATATGTTTATATGATAATATATATATATACGGTTTGACAATATTTAAACTAGACTACCTATAGGGTTTGACAATATTTAAACTGGACTACCTATAGGGTTTGACAATATTTAAACTAGGTTACCTGAAACACTATTACTTACTTTATATCTATTATCATATGTTAAATCTAACTCAGATTCTTCACAATCAATACTCATACCAGGTGTCTTCATCATCATTTTCATATAAACAGCTTCATTAGGCTGTACTCTTATTACTAGTTCATTTCTTTTTACTTCACCTTCCCTAAATATATCACCAGGTACATCTCGAAACTGTACTCTAACTTCAGCTTTTCTTTCATTCAATGCTACAATAATAACAAGTTATGTGCTACATTGGTAATAATAACAAGTTATGTGCTTCATTGGTATAATAACAAGTTATGTGCTACATTGGTATAATAACAAGTTATGTCCTTCATTGGTATAATAACAAGTTATGTGCCTCATTGGTAATAATAACAAGTTATGTGCTACATTGGTATAATAACAAGTTATGTGATTCATTGGTATAATAACAAGTTATGTGCTAAATAATTAAAGTGTTACATATATATTCAATGTAATTAATTAGTAAATTATAATAAATAATGAATGAGTAATGTGCTTCATTAATATTTATTATAATGATACAAAAGTGAGCAATGTGCTACACGAATACGTAATGCAATTTTAAAGCTGTCTTTCAGTAAATAGTAGAAACTTCAGTACTTAACTTTAATTTCTTTATAAATATCTTTGTGCATGAAATTATTACATTGATTGCATACATTTACACTTATATCTTATAAATTTTGAAAATGCAAAAATTCTGACCTTTTCCACAGCGAAGTATAAAAGGTACTCCATCCCATCTCTCATTTTTAACAAACAATGCACAGGAAGCAAATGTGGGTGTTACAGATCCTGAAGTGCATTCAATAAAACTTTATTCTTAGGATTTATAAATAACACTGACAGACTGATATTCGTCTCATGACCCATAATAATCTTCTATATCTAATATTGATTCAGTTTGTCAAGGTGAGACTTTCGGTCTTAATTGAATGGAATATTGTTTTTCTGATTCAAGGATATTCCCATTTCACATTGCCTATACCATTATACAAATATATCAAAAGTATACATGACAGAATTTATTATACCTTTAGGGACAGTGGGATCATCTAAATATCCCTTAGCTTCTTCTCCTTCCCCACCCTTTTTACCAATATACTGTCCTAATACTACATTCTCCATTAATACAGGTGGGATACTTTTCAATACCTTCACCTGCAAAACCAAGACTATTATAGAGACACTAGACTACTTCAATTAAAATAAACCATCATCTTTTTTGTAAACTTAAACCTTTTTCATTACTGAATAGAACAGCTGTATCTTACCTTTTCATTTCGGATATCTTCTGCTCCTGTTGATGGTGGTTTCTCCATAGCAACTAAACTTAGAATTTGTAGTAAATGATTCTGCATAACATCCCTGCAAAAATATGTGCGTATTATTTTAGAGGTTTGTGTGAATTATTACTAGTGGGTTTTGAATAAATAGAGGTTACAAAATAGATTACACTTACCTGATGATTCCAAATTCATCAAAATATCCTCCTCGACCTTGAGTTCCAAATGGCTCCTTAAAACTTATAACAACACTAGCAACACTTTCTCTATTCCAAATGGGACTGAAGATTCTGTTGCCAAATCTAAAGATGTACAATGAAATTGGTGAAAACATACCATTCATATATTATATTATATTTCAAAGTTAAATAATTTTAAAGGCCCATGAATGGATACAAACAACAAGTAAATATCTCACATTCTAATCTATCCAGCATCTCTTGGTTTTCTGATAATATCATCTATGATTATAATACATGTATCATTTTAGGTCTTATCATTATGATTTTCACAAATGCCAGTCAGTCCCAATCAGATAAAATCTCTAGTGTGATTAAATGCTAATTAAAATGATGAGTACATGTAATAAATAAGACAAGGAAACAAAATGTATTAACCTCACAGAGATCAGACATCAAATAATACAAAAGATTATGTGTACCTGAGTACCATGAGATTTTGGATCATTTCTTTGCCAAGATAATGATCTATTCTATATAGCTCTTCTTCTTTGAATAAGGCTGCTAAATGAGATGATAGTGTATTGGAACTCTCTAAATCACGACCAAATGGTTTTTCAACAATAATTCTTGTCCAATTTTTATCACTGAAATTAAAATAAACAAATCTTTTATTTTTTGTGTATTTTTGTATCTAGTGTGAAATTAGTAGCCATCAAATCTTGTTTGAATTTCCAGTTATATTTTGTTTATAAACCCTCTAGGCTTGCAACTCATGACCTTGACCTTTGGTGACCTTATTACTAGAAGACACAATTTTACACTTAACATATCTTCCAATATCTTCATGTTGTTAATTGATGTTAACTGTTGATGTGAATCTTTCCTGTGTCTTAGTAATCATATAATCATAGCCTTATAGAGGCAAAAAGCATTTAATCAGCGATCATTTGTAGTTTTCATTTTCAGTGCCTCAAAATACGTTCACCTGATTAAGTTTTATGAAGTATTAATTGAAATTGCATTAGATCAAGTATGGCATGTGTGTTTTGGCTGTGTACTTTGAACAGAAACGGGGCAAAAAATTCATTTGAAAGTCAGAGCAGTGAGTGCATACTTCAATAAACCCATTTCAATCAGTGCTGCCAATTACTGCTAAATAAGGTTCCAATTTGAATATTGAATAAATATCTAATAGGTACAAAAAAATGGTGGAATGATATATTGATATATTAAAGTATCAGTATATAATGAATATACTGTCATTTAGTACTTACTCTTTGGACATACATACTGCTTTTATATTTAATGTAACTGATTCATATACAGAGGGTGGTAAGGCCAAATAGAATAACCTATTACAGGATCCTTTGGCATCAATAGCTTTATTTAAGGCTGAAAATGCTTCTGTTTTATCATACGCTCCAGATACATAACTATTTAACTTAAAAAACTCCTCTAACTTCTTTTCTTCATCTTTTTCTACCTAAACATAACAGACAAAAAATATCTGAAAGTGATTACTACATAGGTTATGTTCTAGTTTTATTACAATCAACGTAATAGATAAGGCAAGGTAACATTCAACCATAACAGAAATTTGAAAATAATGATGGTTTAACATTGTATGGATATATTATAAGATATATTATATATAGTCTATAGAAAGTTATATTGTTGTATGCTTGTACCAATACCTTTTGGGGAAAGTTAGTAATACTTATTGAACCCCTGTCTCTTTCATGTTGTATTTTTGAAATGTTTAATGGCAAGGCGAAGACTTACAAGTAAAGTTAAATGATGACCGGAGCTGTTAATGAGACCCAACAATGGCAAGTTAGAAATGGTAGAGAAATTTCTGATTAGCAAAAAAAAAATATATCAACAGCCATAGGGTAACCATGATATATAATAATAAAATGAATATATCTGAACATTATTTCTATGATCATGATTTTATCATATTCATGAATATTTATTACATTAGATAGACATCCTTGATCAAATATATACAGTCCTTTAATATAGACATTCTAACCTTATAGTCATAAAAATATCAATAAAAATATTAATTACAAATTTGAAAAGGTGAAAAATGATTAATAATTTATTTTTTCACGAAAACAAAATTTTCAAATGTTGAAGGTGATTGTAATGCCAACATGATTTCTATGATTTCTATGATTGACAATAAGGACAATGGTAAAGATTTGGTCAACTGATGTGACTAAAGATGATGGGACCAAACAATTGCGAACATTTCTGCTTTTAACTACAAAATATTGCTGAAAAATTATAACAGTTTTGAAACCCTCATACATGCCATATTTAATAATTCTTACTTTTAACATGATAGTAAATAACCCCAAATCACCAATTAATTAACACAGATTTAATACCTGTAAAGATCATATCATCGTGTCGAAACCACACCCCCATTCCTCATACTTTTTTGGAGCCACATGATGTGGCAACACAAGAGAGAAAAATTACGTATTCATAGCTAAATATTGTCCAATCAAAATTGGCCCTTCTGTATTGGTAGCAAATTTCAGCTAATCAAAACAAATCACTCGTTATGACGCTTTGTTTGCCGTCAAAACCAGTATTCGTGATACGATGACATTATATATGAGGTTTCATTCTTTTTTTCTGCAGATGAAAACAGAAAAACCTTGTATACTGTTCAATACGAGTTTATTGTGTGAATAGGCTAGACCACTTGAATTATCATACAAGGCTTTAATTTGAAAAAATGACAACCACCTAAAGCAGTAAAAAGTAAAAAAAAATTCAACCAAATACGCACACAAACCATTTTCAAAAGTAATTTCACATAATACAAGGTTTTAAGCGGTCATCCATGATATCAAGCTAAAACGAAGTCAAGTAATGAATTTGGATGTGAAATAACAAGTATTTGATAGTGTATTAGGTTAATCAATGGGAAGACAAATAAACAAGTTATACAAATCAACCAAGTACTAAATATCTCTCATGGTTGATTACTAATTCTAACATGAAACACAAGTTAATTTGACCACCATAAAGGATTACTATTAATCTCTATTCTATACATCAAAATAACTTCATTAAGTCTGCTAGAGAAATAATTGAATATCGGTAGTAGTTTAGTTTGTAATACAAGTATAAACATATAATCAGGTCTTATTAACAGTCAGGTAGCCTATATATAAACAATGGTCATCAGTATTGTTAATAGTTGAGAAATGATAGCAACCTTAGATCTATTAACTTGTATTACAATGATATCTTAACCTTTAAAAGGATTGTGGTTCTTGGAATTTCACCGAAACTAAACTTTTGATAACATCAATAATCACTATCACACAAGCTCCTAATATAATATAAGGCCCTTTGCAATAGTGACATCATAAAATATATACTATAATAAGCTCATTTCAACTGAATACAAAATTTATGTATTTTGTGCTGCTTGATATTCAACTCTGTCGTAATCATGTCTGTTATTTCCACTTACCTTCATAAATTTGATGGTTTTTTGTTTAATTTCATCAACTGTCAACTTACTTCTTGCATAACCAATAAATGAGGTCTTCTTGGGTAATAAACCATCTCTATATAACCACCTATATGACAAATTTTATGAATAATTAGAATAGCATATTAAATTGTCCTTTTGAAGGAAATCTGAAAATATGGGTTATAATTACAGAATATGTCGAAAAAATGTCTTTTAAGTCAAGCAAGACATTAAACCTAGAAGTGATTTTAATTTTGATATAGTGATATAGTCAGCAGAAATATAAACTGCAGAAGCACCACTCATACATGCTAGGAAATAGACTGTTGTCACTGTAAAAACATAAATGTTAATGATTTAGGTATATCTATTTAAAGTTGAATGGTGCTCACATGTAATTGTTGTATGTAATATACATGTGTAATCAAATAGGCTTTGTAGTTAGTTAACAGTCTTTAAATGGCATTTAGGGAACACCAATCATTGGATAACATTTACGTAAGGTGTTTCCAGAAGTTTCTCCCTTTGCTCTCAGGCACATACTGATAAAAAAAAACCTATTTGGGCACTTATTACAAAGAATGACTATGGCATTTAAATTACAAATAAATGACAGGCTACAAAAAGAGAATATTGATTTATTTTTATATTCAACAATCTACATGCATCAGTTCAGCAATTTGTTAATTATCAGGCCAGCAATTTATCTTATCCACTTTAAACAATTTAATTCAAATAAATTTCCATATATTAGAATCATGTAATGGAATGTTAAATTTTCACAATAGGTCAGAGACAGGTTAGATATTACTTATAGACTAACCATAGTGTTGGATAAATCTTCTTTTTAGCTAAGTCACCCTAAAATATAAAATAGAACTAGGTCAAATACCTGAATTGTATAATAACTTTACTACAATGTAAAGCTCATAAAAATCTAAGCTTAATAATTAAAAATGCATAGCACAAAATGCAAAAACTGCCAAATTGTAGCCTTTTCTATGTTTGGCAGAACTTAATAAGGTATGCTTAATTCAAAATAATTAGGGGTGAAGATGACTTATTCAAGGTCACAGGACTTTCAGATCCGATCGAGATCAGAACCCACAGCCTCCATTATAACTAAGCAAATGACATCATGTAGTCTAAAGACCCTCTAACTGACTGTGCTATAGAACCTCAAAAAGATTTAATGTATAGAATATTTAGGTAGTTTAACCTAAGACTGCAATACAAAAATTATTTGACAATCACAGATCTATTTTGCTGCACACAATTGACACATGCTGATATATTTGTGTACTTTGCACTAAAATTATGTTGTGGTCAAAGGTAAACAATACTTAATTATTTCAGTGAAAAAACGGGGTGAATTCTGATGACTAAGTATAATTTTTCAATTCTGCTATATCATCATGAGTTTGCACTTTCTGAACTTTTTTTTTTTTTAAAGTGAATCAAACCCAATTAAAACTATAGTCTCTATCTCAATCCTATTTTAACATATTTTTGCATTGACAAGGGCAGAAACTCATAAACCATTTGTTCAAAAATTGTGAGAAGCAAACTTTGAGATCATAAAGTGATTGGTATCAGGGACACTGATAGCATCAATTTGCACCATTCCAATTTTCTTTGGTTCATGCAATTCCACTCAAACTAAGTGTTTGATAACGATGCTAATCGCAAGGGCCTATGTGATAAAGCAACTTCTGAGATAAGTGATGTCAACAAACACTTTTATTTAATAGAATAACAGGAACCACAGAAATATGACTGAAAATTGGAATGATGCAAATTGATGTTATTAGTGTCCCTGATGGCCTACACATAAAAATTTAGAAAACACCTTTAATATCTTATACACAAGTATTTCATATTTCATCAATATCGAAGTATATTAGTTTACAAGCCATTTAGAGTAATATTGCTAGATTAAGAACAATGACTAAAAACCCAGCCATCTAAACATTATGATCATATTCATCTCATAAGCACACCAAGTTCTCACAAAACTATTATCTCCATTATGTTCACAAGCATTTTTTGCAGACAATTAGACAGCTGTGACAACAAAAATTATAATGTCATCACTATACTGTGAGCTTAAAAGTAATTCATAATTGTGAACCTATGTTGTGAAGGAACTTCAATAATACCAGTAGATAATACTAGAATACTACCTAGCCTACACTATAAAGAACATTAGGCTATTGTATTACATTAGAAATTTCAACTTTGTCAAAAGGTCTTCACATAGCTTTTTATATAAAAAAGATTGAAAACTAAGTTGGCAAAGGGTTCTAAATAGTCAGCACATTGTGTACGGTACCTAAATAACTACTATTTTCCCCAATTCATATTGACACTTGGTATTTTAGACTAGAGACACTGTTATTTTTTCAAGTATTACTTCTCAGTTAAAGGGATACTACGTCTTAGAATGAACAAAAAAAATTTAATTTCTCAAGAATGGTCAATATGAGTATTCATTCATCAGTGAACTTACCTGGTGTCATAAAGTTAAAACAGAATCCCTGTAAAATCTATTAATATTAAGCGTTTTTCAATAGTTAATTGCATTTTTATGAATAATTATTCAGTGTTCTGGATTTATCAGATTATATAAGGATCCTGTTATGTTATTTATGAAACCAGGTATATCTACTGATGAATATATGCTCTTAATGGCCAAGTTAAATTTTTTAAAATCTTATGTTCATTTTAACACATAGTCAGTCCTGTCATTAGGGTGGGGTCCGTGGGGGCTGGGCCCCAGCAAGTGAGAACTAAGCCCCAGCTTCTTCAGTTCAGCAGAGATTGATTCATTAACTGCAGTGTCTTTGTGCAAATCAATCATATGAAGTTTTTGGCACCTCTTGGCCTTTTATTGCTCAAATTTACTGAGTTCTTAGGCCCAGCAACAATTCAATCCTGGCGATGGGACTGGACATAGTATCCTTTTAAGTTAATTAATAACAATCCTGAAAAACCTCATGATCAGTAGGCCTAAATCAGTTCAGGTGTGTCAGGACACTTTTAATCAGGCACTACTGGGCATTGGCAAAATCCTACATATAGAACTGAACTGGTGTTGAAAGCAACATTTTATTTGCTTAGTGCTCAGTCAACATTTATTAGGAAAAAACAAATCCTGTACATTTTAAGTAATCTAAAGATCTATAAAACTGTATTTAACCTTATTAAAAACAGGAACAATATTTGATCCTGGTTAAGATCATATTATAAAGCTTTTCAGCTGAATCAAATAACAAGTGGACAAACCAGGATCCAACACCAAATTGCCTATATGCTATATCATTTAATAAATTTGAATTATTGTACCGTATAATACTAAATACGCTACTTACTGAAGCTCCAAGAATGACAAATACATGTGAAGCACCATGACAGTCATGTTCAAGGGTATCTCTCATGCGTGCCAAAACATCATTTGAGGTGGAAGTCATGTTCAGTCTCTAAATGCAGACGATATTCACTGTCAACTTTCTAATGTCCAAATTACATTTACCATCCGTGTTGTTAGATAACTAACTTACGATATTAGCCCTGTTCATCCGGCCCGAAACATTATTGCGATATTCTATTGAATGTCTGGATAATCACGTTCAACATGTTATGGTGGGCGTGACTATATGATGTTAGTCCGAAACATCTTACTCGCTCAATTCACTTCTCCATGCTTCTACGTCCAGTGGATTTGCTAAAACTACAATGGCAATGTTCATGAAAGGAAGTAGATTTTGAATTGATGTAGTAAAGTAAAGAGTTTATTATTTATGATATAACTAACAGATCTCCCAAGTTGATATTCTAATCACTTCTCATTTTCACATTAAAAGATTTTAATTACATGCTAAAGGTGCGGGCACACGAGTGGTTTTAATCAAAGATTTTTGTCTCCGACTTGAATCTTGAGTAAGATCTTGCGTGTGTATATTATCAAACAAGTCTAATACTTGTCTCCGATAGTTTTATCTTCATCATCCAATCAGATTCTTTTTCTTACAATTGCATACTCCACACGTGATAATAGACAAGGTGGAAAACGATCAACTGGAAATTTTTGTCTAATCGTGTGCCCGTACCAGTCATTGAAACTTGAGACAAGACTCTAATCGGTGACAAAAGTCTTCGACTAAGACTGCTTGTGTGCCCGCACCTTCAGTTTCAAAAAAATCAGTTATAAGCTGTAGATTCTAGAGAGTTTATGAGGAAATGTGAGAGGATGGATAGACCAACTTGGGTGCTGACAATATACATCCACATGCTAAGTTGTAGCCTAGGCAACTGGAATAGCCTTGCTATCAAGCGTGATCATTAACAACAAATGACGCTCATATGAACACCTAAAGTTCATTCTTAAATTTCTACGGCTAGTCAAATTCATTTCTAAGAGGAAATATGGGAAGAAACCAGAATATATGCTTGTAAGCCATACCAATAGTCTATATAATAGTTATTACATTAAATTTGTACCAAATTTATGATCAGAGAATTGATGAAAACTGTTTCACTACACATATGCTCAACAAATAGTGCTTATTTTAGAAGAAAGTTCTTTATTATCTGGTACATTTCATAAATAAATAATCAAATACATTTTCTTCTTTTCTCTATAAATCTTACAATGTAAAGGTCGATAAATGCAATTTATACTTCATAAAGTCTTGAGAACACACTTACAACATTATTTGTGATTTACACTGCATGTTGTTTTGGGTTATTAACACTGTATTTTATAGTTTGATATCAAAACATGTTACACACCATAGCTGAAATTCCAGTTAAAAAAAGATTTTATGTATACTTGATTTTTTTTTATAATAGGCTACTGAATATCAGATTTCTTCAAATTCATCACTACTTAATACACATGCTGGAAACTCAGTTTATAATCTTAGTGATCTTGTTAAATCAAAATCACTCACTCTTGACTAAAACATTCAATCTATGTGAAAATTAATGTCCTTTATACACCGGTCTTCTCTTCTCTTTAAATGCTTTCAATCCTTCAATTCTATCTTTAGTAGGAATAATCTGTTCCATATAAAAAAAAAAATTCAATATTTTAGGAAGTAGTTTTGCATCATTTGGTATAATGAATTTTTTGTAAATAAAATGTTTACTAAAATGCAGTTTTGAATGAATAACTAAAAACTCCTTTAAGAATATTATGCAGAAAGCATATGTCTTCTATTTTTCTTATTACTTAGTATCCTGGACCACTTTCATGCACATACTTGTACTAAAAATTTTTAAGTTTGATTTTGAGATAAAATGACTAACACCTTTGGATAAATATAATTTTGTTTAGTAAAAGTCTGAACATATACATACATGTATCCAAACCCATAAATAAATTTGTCAACTATTCTTGAGTTAACAGTTACTTAATTAAGCTCAACTTACCTGAGCATAGAAAGCCTCTTCATATTTCAAACCTGAATCTAATTCAACCTATAACAGAAAATGCAATATTTTGAAGCAATATCAAACTGAGTGGTCTTATTCTGCAGCCCAACAGCTGATTGCATTTGTTTGCTTAAAAGGACAGATGTGCCATTCTTTTTGACCAATCATACTTTAGTCTCAGAAACTGTATTCAGTAATAGTGGTCACAGTTCACCGTCGAAATTTGAGCCTTCAAATCCATGCATGTCCAGAATTTTATGCCTTTGAATGTTAAACTGACGACTCATCATTTTAAGATATTCTGTGATATATAGAAAAGACATACCGGGTATATAGAAATAGTGAGTGAAAGTCATAAATTGAGATATTTTTGAAGGAATTATACGGCTTTTGTACATTTCTATTACTTTTGAAGACTATTTACATATATTCAAGACTCAAATCAACCCCACAAAATGGCGCACCTGTCCCTTTAAGATGGATCTGTACACCTGTATTGGTAGTCGCATATAAAAAAATCCATTTACGATAGTATTCTTTTCTTTCCAATCTTATCAAAGAGTAACAATTTGTTGCCTAGCAAGATACGCCCGCTTCTCCGATAAATTTTCAGTATATTAAACGCAGTGGTCAATCTGTGTCAAATCATACCAAAAATCTAATTTGTGCAAGATATTGTTGATTAAATCAATAAAATTTTGACATAAACTTCAAACTTAACCAATATCTCAAAGTAATAGATGAGCACACCAGATTTCATTTAAATCAGATGAAAATTGTAGTCTTTATTGTGTTTACAAACAAATTTTGTTGCCTTTTTTAGTCAAGGGCAATAACTCAAAAACTGTTCATCAAAAACTCTTCCAATTCCAACTTGCCCAAGATCTCAAGAATATAAATGAGCACATCAAATTTCATTAAAATTAGATAAAAACTGTAGCCTCTATAGTGTTCACAAGCCAATTGTGAACGAACGGACAGAGGCGTCGACAATATACGACCACATTATAATGTGGGTGTGTAAAAATAAAGTAGAGCAACAATAGACAAAAATCTAAAACGTATGAGTCATAAAATTTTGAACCAATCATCATCTGCTATGGGTTTATAGAAATGGTCTTAACATTAAGATACTTACTTCAATTCCTCTATTGACTGCAAGTTTTGCCATTCTCAAAGCTATTGGTCCCTGAAATGAATAGTAATTCAAATTTTAAAGTAAAAATATGTTAGATAGCTAGATTTCAGTTCTAGATTATATGTAGACTTTCAATAGCTAATTTTCAGTTATCGATTACATGTAAACTTTCAGTTAAGCTTATAGATTATATGTAGGCTTTCAATAGATAGATTTCAGTTATTGATTATATGTAATATATGTAAACTTTCAATAGCTAGAATTCAGTTATTGATTATATGTAATATATACAAACTTTTTAATAGCTAGACTTCAGTTATTGATTATATGTAAACTTTCAATAGCTAGATTTCAGTTATTGATTATATGTAAACTTTCAATATTGATTATATGTAAACTTTCAATATTGATTATATGTAAACTTTCAATAGCTAGATTTCAGTTATTGATTATATGTAAACTTTCAATATTGATTATATGTAAACTTTCAATATTGATTATATGTAAACTTTCAATAGCTAGATTTCAGTTATTGATTATATGTAAACTTTCAATATTGATTATATGTAAACTTTCAATATTGATTATATGTAAGCTTTCAATAGCTAGATTTCAGTTATTGATTATATGTAAACTTTCAATAGCTAGACTTCAGTTATTGGTTATATGTAAACTTTCAATAGATAGATTTCAGTTATTGATTATATGTAATATATGTAAACTTTCAATAGCTAGATTTCAGTTATTGATTATATGTAATATATACAAACTTTTTAATCGCTAGACTTCAGTTATTGATTATATGTAAACTTTCAATAGATAGATTTCAGTTATTGATTATATGTAATATATACAAACTTTTTAATAGCTAGACTTCAGTTATTGATTATATGTAATAAATACAAACTTTTTAATAGCTAGACTTCAGTTATTGATTATATGTAATATATACAAACTTTTTAATAGCTAGACTTCAGTTATTGATTATATGTAATATATACAAACTTTTTAATAGCTAGATTTCAGTTATTGATTATATGTAATATATACAAACTTTTTAATCGCTAGACTACAGTTATTGATTATATGTAAACTTTCAATAGCTAAATTTCAGTTATTGATTATATGTAAACTTTCAATAGCTAGATTTCAGTTATTGATTATATGTAATATATACAAACTTTTTAATAGATAGATTTCAGTTATTGATTATATGTAATATATACAAACTTTTTAATAGCTAGACTTCAGTTATTGATTATATGTAAACTTTCAATAGATAGATTTCAGTTATTGATTATATGTAATATATACAAACTTTTTAATAGCTAGACTTCAGTTATTGATTATATGTAAACTTTCAATAGATAGATTTCAGTTATTGATTATATGTAATATATACAAACTTTTTAATAGCTAGATTTCAGTTATTGATTATATGTAATATATGTAAACTTTCAATAGATAGATTTCAGTTATTGATTATATGTAATATATACAAACTTTTTAATAGCTAGACTTCAGTTATTGATTATATGTAAACTTTCAATAGCTAGATTTCAGTTATTGATTATATGTAAACTTTCAATAGCTAGATTTCAGTTATTGATTATATGTAAACTTTCAATATTGATTATATGTAAACTTTCAATAGCTAGATTTCAGTTATTGATTATATGTAATATATACAAACTTTTTAATAGCTAGACTTCAGTTATTGATTATATGTAATATATACAAACTTTTTAATAGATAGATTTCAGTTATTGATTATATGTAATATATACAAACTTTTTAATAGCTAGACTTCAGTTATTGATTATATGTAAACTTTCAATAGATAGATTTCAGTTATTGATTATATGTAATATATACAAACTTTTGAATAGCTAGACTTCAGTTATTGATTATATGTAATATATACAAACTTTTTAATAGATAGATTTCAATTATTGATTATATGTAATATATACAAACTTTTTAATAGATAGATTTCAGTTATTGATTATATGTAATATATACAAACTTTTTAATAGCTAGACTTCAGTTATTGATTATATGTAAACTTTCAATAGATAGATTTCAGTTATTGATTATATGTAATATATACAAACTTTTTAATAGCTAGACTTCAGTTATTGATTATATGTAAACTTTCAATAGCTAGATTTCAGTTATTGATTATATGTAATATATACAAACTTTTTAATAGCTAGACTTCACTTATTGATTATATGTAATATATACAAACTTTTTAATAGATAGACTTCAGTTATTGATTATATGTAAACTTTCCATAGCTAGATTTCAGTTATTGATTATATGTAAACTTTCAATAGCTAGATTTCAGTTATTGATTATATGTAATATATACAAACTTTTTAATAGCTAGACTTCAGTTATTGATTATATGTAAACTTTCAATAGATAGATTTCAGTTATTGATTATATGTAATATATACAAACTTTTTAATAGCTAGACTTCAGTTATTGATTATATGTAAACTTTCAATAGATAGATTTCAGTTATTGATTATATGTAATATATACAAACTTTTTAATAGCTAGACTTCAGTTATTGATTATATGTAAACTTTCAATAGCTAGATTTCAGTTTGATTTCTATAATTTTTTTCATGTTATCTGGTACAGTATACTTCTCAAACCATGTGTAAAAATGTCCTTACATTTGGTAAAATTTCTTCCGCTAATTCTAAAGCTCTATGATATGCAGCATCGCCATTATCATTCTGTTGTACAGCATGATTTACTACACCTAGATCTCTTGCTTGAAATCCATCTAATCTTCTGGCAGTAAATATCAACTCTTTAGCTAAAGATGGTCCAATAACTCTCGGTAATCTTTGTGTTCCTCCTGTTAAAAATCAAATACATAGTTTAATTATTTGAAAACACTTTAAATTCACTTTGATAAAAGCAAATAGATTTATTCAAAGATATAAAAAACTTGAAAAACAAGAGAAAGGCTGAAGTTCTGTAAAAAAAAAAAAAAAAAAAAAAAAACAAACAAAGGCATAGATCTAATTCAAAAGTAAGCTGAATATTTAATGTACATACCTGCTCCAGGTATAATGGCCAAACTTGTTTCTATTAAACCTATCTTAGCATTGCTTGCTTAAATATAAATAACATTCTAATACAGCCCACTAATTGGTAAACACTCATAGTTCTGTAAATTAGTTCAAATTAAGGTTGCTCTAATGTATGACTTTTAGTTCAATTCAATGAATTCATAAACAGTTTCAATGTCACATATTATGAAATATTTTGCATCCAATGTTCCACATTTTATTCTATATATAAATGAAGGCATGCATAACAATGTGCCTATTTTTTCCCATTTCTCAATATCTAACTGAGTTTAAATAGAGTCTATTACACACATGACCTTGATTTTTGCCTTTAACAAACAGCTAAATAAAGCAAAATTATGTCAATTGCTTGGTTACATCAAACAAATGATGGTAGTGGATCTATTTCTGTCAGACCTTGAATAAGTAATCTTTCCTCAAATGGAAGAAAGGATCCTCATGGTAAAAAAATAGTTGTTTTGTTTCTTCTTGTCTTTTTTGCTGTTAGTCATATCAGCAAGTAAATAAAATATCAGAATAAGTAATCTTACCTGCTACTCTCATATCACAGCCTAATGATATCTCTAATCCACCACCAAGAGCAAAACCATCAATAGCAGCTATTGTAGGCACTGGTAGATTAGCTAGCTCTGTAACACTCCATCTTAACTTCTGTACAAATGCTGAAACTTCTTCATTACTCATTTCAGCTCTTTCTTTTAAATCTGCCCCTGAAATTTTATGATAGAATTTTTTAAAGAATACAATAGTTAGTTCTGTTACATTTGTAATATAATTGCTATGTACAGGTTTTGCTTTACATGTTTACTATTAAGTGACTTTACATCTCTGAAAGTAATCCTTATTTCTTGATTTTACTATCATCTGCCCATATCACTTTTAAAAGATAAGATGAATATTTTCATAGGCATATCAGTGAAATGACAATCTTACCAGCACAGAAAACATTAGGTACTTCACTTCTGAGTATAATCACACTAATACTTCTATCATGTTTTACTTCTTGACAACTGTCTATAAACTACAAAACAACAAAATATAGCACATAAATACCCAGTTTCTTTCCTTCCAACCTTTTTAACTCATAATCTGTGCATGATCTAGCCTTGAAAGCAGCATCTTATACTGTTCTATCGCTTAATTCTGTTCCTTATTCAATAGGAAGATTTGTTCCTAAATAGAACATTGGGGTAGAAAATTCAATAGATATATACCTACTCTTTGTATGATATTTTTACCCATAGCATTTTTGGATTTGAATCTCCTCATGGAAAAGACAACTATTCCTGAAAAACACCATAGCTATATTTAAAAGCTTTTTCTACAATTATTAACAATTAATTATAAATTGCAAAATTAACCCATAAACATTTGGAACCCCAGATTATGTTTTATCCCCTTTATATTATTTCAAGAAGAATTTAACATCATCAAAACCGAATACATGTACCTTGGTGTACTTTTGACATTTCTTACCATGAAATTCATTTTTATTACGCAAGTGTAGCAGACCAAATTTGTGACAAGAAACAGCAGGCATTTCTCTAATCTCCCTTTTCTAATTTTTGTAAGTTTATCAAAAATTAGAATAGGGTGACTAGAAATGCATAGATCAATTTCTGTATTGTAAGTAAATACATTAAGTTACTAACATGTCCTTTGTATGGAGTTTCGGACTACAATTTATGATGTCAACAGGTCATTTGAAGTAATACCTTTTCTATCACCATCTAATCGATTTACATGGAACTCGTCCTCGGGAGACTGTTGTTGAGATTGAGAACAAAACTTCCGGCATGCTGTCTGTAAATGCCGATCAGCAGACCTAGGTGAAAAAGGTCGATACCCAGATAAATGTCGAAGTCCAGTTCTAAACGCCGCCATTTTGTCCTAACCTTTGAACTTTAACCCCGAAACATCTTTCTCAGAGATGTGCACGTCTGCATGACATAACGAGTCCACTTTATTTTCGAGGGTATAAAAGTGCATCACATTCAGAGAATATTGTTTAACGATTTACACGCACTTAGGCTACGCCATCACACTTAAACCGAAATATCTGCATCTATTCCAGCGACTGATGCCTATTTTGAAAGTTGTTGGCTGGTTAAAGGGACATTCTTCGTAGGCCTATTTTTTGAAGGTCGAAAATTTTTTGGCTCAAAATAATTGTGAAAACTGTAGGCCTACACCAAAATCTAGAGACATGTACCCTTTAACGTATCTGAAAGTTGAAACTAAAAAAAATCCAGCCGTTAATTTTTAAACGCCAAATATTTTTAAAAACAATACGTGGGCTAGGCCTTTAGGCATTTTGGATGCTGTTATAAAATTAGGCCTAGGCCTACTGTAGCATACAGATTGGAATAAAATAGGTGCTTAATTGTAGAGACATATGATTAGAAAGATGGACATTATTTTTGTAGTTCAGCCATGCAGTCAATCGAGAAGAGGTCAAAACGACAAGCAAAAAATTTGTTACAGCCTCATCACAAATTGGGGTGAGGTTGGAGGAGGATCCGCCTATTTGATAGCCTACACTACGCGCTCACATTAGAGCAGTAATGAGTAGGCCTACTAAACCAAGTCCAATAGTCTTCATCTTAATCTTAATCTACGTGCTTCCACGGAAATTAGCCTACAGTTTTTAAAATTAGAGTAACAAGAATGGGCGTTCACGACAGTCAATCATGATAACGCGGATGTAAGTTTCCTCCTTAAAGAGACATTAAGTTCAGATGAAATATTTTCCTTGTCGAATAAGAGAATCAGGCGTGCAGAGACAAAACAACATTGCAGAATTAAGGATGTAATAAAACAATGTCATTTGGTAAGTTTAGTTTTAGAAATGTATTTGAAATAAAGATCGATTGGTCAGAGCAGATATTAACGACTTAGCCTATCAAAGTTATATATCTATAGGCCTAGCCTACTATTATTATAACTTTTTGTAAACTGTTCCAAGACATTGGATGACTTTATCGTGTCGGACGAGGTAGAAAAAAATAATTGTAGCCTATCTTTTAATCAACAAGGATCAGTTCACATTTGCAAACACCAAACTACTGAGATTATTAGCCATTGTGTAGGACAAAATGATCATTTGAAGCCAGTGAAAAGGAAGAAATAATAATAACAATAGTTTAAACTAAAGCGACATCAAATATACCGAATAAATCACTCGAAGTATATTAGTTTTACAATGCAATTATTAAAGTAGGCTAAACTCTCTTTTTATAGGCCTACCCTTTTTTCCCCTTAAGATTCTTTTATTAATGTGTTCATTGATATTGTCATTGAGCTGTTTTAAGAATCGCATAGTAAACGGTGGCGGCTCTAAAATTCCCTCACCTTATTTTCAAAAAATATATTAAAAAACCTTGATTTTTATACGTTCTTGCCCAAAAATATGTCAGAATGCACCATATCGATTCATTTTTGCTAAAATTTTATCAAATGGGCTTGCGACTATTACACCTCCCAGTGGTGGATTTTTGGACATGTTGGGCCGTAGGCAATCGAACGGTAGAGGGCCTAATTTCTCATTTTAGGGAGGGGGCATGGTGTGATTACAATTTTAGGCAGGAAGTTTGCGATCTTTTTTTTTTTCAGGAACAGATTAGTCAGCTCATCAGCATAAATCGTATGCACGATATCGGCATTCATCACCATTAGGCTCAAACAATTTAGTCGATTCTCACACATCACGCTCTTATAGTAGGACAATTTTCGATAGGCCTGCGGAAATTTATGAACTGTTTGATAATATTTACTGTTACAAAATTTGTCATGGGCCGAATTTTCCATTGGCCGAAAGGCAGCTGCCTAGTTTGCCTATAGGTTTATCCGCCTCTGTCCATAGTAGCTAAATTTTGAATTCAGCTTTAACAGTTGTCCCCCCATTGAGTCAGTCTGTCCCTTATTTGAAACGCCAGTCTCGGAAGGCAACCCAATTTGGAAACTCTAAGCTAAACAAACCAGGAATATGAATATTATAATTTCTATAATACAACATAATACCCTTCTCATTTCCTTTATTCAACTTCCTGAATGTCAACATCATAAAGAAACCATTAAATTTTATAAATTCCTAACTATTGGTTATCCTATTACAATGCACACCCAGTATTGTTTGCAAATCCTGTGAGCAAGATATATTTTGATAAGTGAATAAAATTTTATTAAATAAACTCTATAATTTGATAGAAAAAATTGCAACCCATATGCAAACGTGATGGCAAGTTATACTTTTTGGAGAAAACTCATTAGAAACTTTAAATTGAAGATGAGTGAGTGAGTTTTATCGAGCAAAAGTTATTTCTACACATCACGTTTTCTACCACCCTTATTTAAGTCTCCCTCATTCTCGTTTTTAAGGCGATATATCTCTTGAGAAAGTTTCTATTAAAATGTTCTGGTCTGTAGCACTGGATGGGGCGAAATGATCGCGTATGAGAAATTCCATAATTACAATTGAGCACCATACAAATTTCTTCTCCGGATATATTACTTGCCTTTCCGAACAATCAAATCTGGCTACGGTCAACATCGCGAGAATTTTAAGATTTTCGATTTGTTCTGTAGCGCTATTTTGATATAAACTGTCCTCTGATATAAATTATCCTCTGTCTCGATTTTAAATAAAACCCAAAACACTGATAAAATAAGTAGCTGTATTAAAATAGTTAAATTAATACAAGATACCAACGTCTGAACTCCTAAATCTAAAACTTATCTGACCATTTTCTTTATCAAATGTATATCTATATTTGGTCCGGCAATCTTAGATTCCTAGAAAATGCTGCAGATTCCAAGACATGATATGAACTCACTGACCATTGGTCTATCATAAATGACCATTGCCATTTTTGTGAGAGGCTGTACTATTTTAAGACCAGTGCTATGTGAATATATTGGAATCTAAGAAAGAAAATATCTAGTTATAATATAGGAAGTCCTATTTTACGTAATACATACATACTTTAAAATGCTATAGTTAGAGTATTTTCACTTTACGAGCTTTTTTATAGATCGAAAACTTTTCGTCGCTCAAATTTCTGTAAACTAGACAACAAAATCTAGAGAAATTTGTCCCATAAAGGAGCATTCCACTTTTTGTAGCTCTAAAAAAAATTGTGCTGAAATATAAGACACCTATACACCAAAATCTGGAGAAATGTGTACATTAACGTTAATTTTTGAACGCAAAAACTATTTAAAAACATTGAGGTTTGTTCGGTGTAAGAAAACTACTTTACAGTTTTAGGTGAATTAAGCGCCAAATGAGTCTTCTACTTGTTAATAATACAAGCCGTTATGAATCTAACACCAAAACTAGTTCAAACTCCTTAATTAATTAGAAGAGACGTAGCCTATATAAATAGCATATTTTAGAAATATTTGCGGGTAGACTATACGACGTTTCAATGATGGAAATTTGGCATTCTGCCCCTTTTAAGTTTATAAAGAAATAATTGAGACCCCTCACAAGAACATTTATTTTATTCCATTTGTTCGTCATGGACACCGGCACAATATTGCGCACTAGGCTCACAAGTGCACCCTAACTCCCCTGGAATGACAAGCCCACGTAAATAAGAATTAAGAATTATGAGACCTCTATATACATTTGTATTTATTATTTTACTCAGTCGACTATATTCATGATATAAGCTTAATCTTTTTAAATCGATGTTATAAACAATATTCAAAAAGAAACAATACTGGCTATTTGGACCCTCTGAAAGGGGTGAAGATGACGAGCTCATTTGCCTGTCTCACTAGCCTGTGTAGAATTTGGACTCAATGTTTTTTACGTTTTACTCATTCGTATTCCTATGTTTAATGTACTTGTATTTAATTATAATTTTAGTGCATTCTGACAACATGTTATTAGTGTGTTTATTAATGCTGGTTCCTCAACTTGGGGCTCAAACAACTGTCAACGGTATCTCAAACACCTCCAATAACCTATATGATAGCAATGATGGGTTATTTTATTTTATGGAGGGAAATGAACTACGGTATAAAAATAAAAATCAAGACGAAGTAAGCCTACCACCAAGCTTCAACACGTCGAAACCCAAGGTTATATTTCCAGTGAATGGTAGATTGAGAGTTTGTGAAGCAGATAATCCCAGTCAATGTTTTGATTTCAACCGGTCAATCAGTGTATCGCAGTATGCGTGGAGATTCAAATCTGACAACGTTTCAAATGTTGGTATTGTTACCTCTAACACCATATATATGTCAACAAAATCTTCAGATACCAAAAATTACATCAGCCGATATGCACTAAATGATTCAAAAGTCGTTGCACATTTCCCAAATTTAGATGTTGCAGACGATACGGAATATCTTGAAAGGTTCGACCCGAAAGGAGCATATTCTTACAACAATAAAATATATTTCATCGCCAATCAGAAAGCTGATGTAGGGGTTGTTGCTGCAATTATTCAACTCAATGATGATGATAGTGGTTGTTACATTGATATGGTTTTACCTTGTGGGTCAACTCCTGTCCATAAACAGATTTTACTTGATGTGTCAGTGATAAGAACCCACGATCACTCCAATGAAGATCCATCTATTGCTGCTTTGTTTCAAACTGAAAATGGTGCGCAAAATATATGTTTCTATCAAATGAAAGATGTTGTCAATAATTTTATCAAAATCAAGAGAGCTGAAATATGTAAGTGGAGAGACGCAGACTTCTATAATTATGGAAATGAATGTAACTATACAATGTATACTTGTACAAATTATAAAGTAAGTTAATTGAATATTCTCCATTTCCATTTAAATCTTAACGCTTGATACTATCAGAAACTTCAATTAACGTATATTTCGCTCAGTTCACTGATTATATGATAACTATATTGTTTATTA